ACTCTGCACCCTCTTGTCTGCCATACAGTGCCAAGGAAGTACCTCCATTCTTCTGCTCCTGCTTGCAAAGGGCCATGTAGAACTTCGTTCCCTTCCTGCTGCCAGCCTACAGCCACCAGACCCTCTCCTGCCACCAGCTGTTTGAATTTCGTGTGTATCTGAGGCCTTGCCTCATATCCTGTGTCTTAAGTTGGCTTTCCACCATGGGGTCACAACATATCTAATTCTAGGCATGGGGGGGACAGTCCCACTGTACCAGGTGCTCTGTTTCCAGTCCACCCGTAAGGTCTGGTGCTAAAAGTCCACCAAACCCTCTGACAAGCCTTCTTCAGGGTCACTTTCCAGGGTGGGGGAGACAATCATTAACATTTGTGGACACTTGGACAGCTTGCATCCAGGGCAGTTGGGTGCAGGAGGTGGTATCCTAGGGCTACTAGCTGGAGTTTTGCTTTTTGCCCCCCTCCTCGGTTTCTCACCTCTAACCTTCCTATGTTGCCGCACAGATAAGCGGATCTTCATGAAGCTTTCTCAAGTCTCCTGGAGCATAGTGTGATTTGTGGCACAGTTCCTGTGGCAGAAAAGTTTCAAATTGTTTACCGTTCCCAAATACAAAAGATGCTTCTGCCCCATTTTGGATTGTCTTCATTTGAGTTCAGAGTATCTGCATGGAAACCACTAGATCCGTCATTGCCTCTCTTCAGGAGGGTGATTTCTTGGTTTCTGTGGAAATCAGGGATGCGTACCTACATGTCCCATCTTTCTAGCACATCAGCGTTTCCTGCACTTTGCTGTGAGGCCCCTTCACTACCACTCTGTGGCCCTGCTCTTTGGCCTCTCTTCGGCTCCTCAGGTGTTCACCAAGGCACTTGCTCCAGTATTGGCCCTGTTGTGCACTTGTAACATCCCAATTGTGGGATATTTAGAGGACCATGACTGTCCATAAATTACAGCGGTTCAGAACCTTGGTACTGACTTGTCGCTTGGAGTATCTGGGTCTAGGACTTGACAACGCACAGCCCAGAGTGCGTCTTCCAAGGTAGACACTTCAGACTTTATTGAGCTTTTCAGTTCACGTGTTGTCCACCTTCCACTCTAGGAGTTTCTCCATGGAATGAATCCTCATCTTACTCCTTTTTGGCCTTTCACTCTTTGATTAAGACCTTTGTCTCTTGTGTGCCCCCTCCCCCCTGTGCTTTCCCCTGTGACTGTGTGGGATCAGAGGCATTCCATTCTCTGTGGGATCAGTGGTGTTCCTTGTAGCCATCTTCTCTGCATAAGTGTCTAGATGGAAAGAACCTTTTCTGGTATTGCAGAAAATAACTTTCTGGTTTTCCAGGTGAATAAGATGGTGTTGAGGGCCAGAACTTCCTCTCTACCTAAGGTCGTTTCTGCCTTCTACCTCAACCAAGGACCTCATTCTTCTGTCCCTCTGTCCGGCTTCACTTCACACAAAGGAGATTTCACTCCATTGTCTGAATGTGGTTTGCTCTCTGCTTCTTTCAGGAAAACGAATTCCCTTTTTGTAATTCAAAATGGACCCTGTAAGGGTTCCCTGGCTCCTCATTGCACCTTTTCTTGGGGGATCAGACAGACCATCATCCAAGTTTATTGATCGGTAAGTTTTTCTTGAGCTTTTTAAAATCGGCTAGTGTTTTCCATATTTTCAATACTTCTATCTCATCTTCTTTAGCAAGTTCTCTGCGTTCTACTAGATGGACGTTGAGGCCTCCTCTGATGCCAACTTCGGGCATAAAGTCCTTCAGACGGCGCTTTGAGTTGCAGGCAGTTACCAGTTTTGTCTGTTGTTTTTTGTATTGGCCAATTAGAGTTTGCTTTGTTGGACTGCTTTTGGATGTCCAGAAGGTTAAAAAAACTTCCTACGTCCCACAGTGGTCTAAGAAAGAAATTAGGATTTTGTACTGGCCTTTTCTTAGAGTTCGTTGAAGGACACGGGTCCCCCCTCTCTGTGCTTATGAACAAGCTCTTGGTACCGCTGGCTACAAAACATGCTTGTAGTACAGGGCTAGAAAATTTGATATATGGAATTTAGAAACCAGTCTGTCCAATCCAGGAGCCAGCAGGATATTGTTTTAGGATCCAGCTCCATTGACGACTAGTAGAGGAAACCTTAAAAATTGGATGCTAGCTGTAATTTGTAAAGAACATTTTGAAGGAACATGGATCTTGGGATGTGTACAGCCTTGTTGTACTAAAGAGGAAACAAAAAGGAGGAAGAAGCACGACAACCTAGCGCAGATAAAAGATGGTGGAGGGGAGGGGTGAAGAATGTGTAAAATGATGATACTCATGTAATCAGGTGGATCTGAGCTTTGAGAGTTGGAGGTCTCTTTTGAGGTGGTGCGATGCTTGATATGTCGAACTTCCAGGTGGGGACTTCCAATACGGTGATGTGGAGATCAACAGTTTGATAAAATATAAGCACGGTGAGCGATCTGGTGTGCACAGCGGGCTGATATAAAATACATAGACTCACCAATAAAGGAGAACTATGGGGCCAGTGCTTTTCCCCATAGTTCTCCTAAGGGTAACGGGAGGACACAAACTAGCGTCCTCCCATCACCCACAGCTTAGTATTCCGCGAGCGATAGCTCACGGTATACTGAGACGCCGCAGCCGGAACGGATCCCGACAATTCTGTCAGGATCCGCCCAGCTGCGTGAGTGACAGCTGGCTCTGCCTATCTAGAGGCAGAGCCAGCTGTACTCGCCCCCTCCCCCGTCCGTTCCGCCAGTCAGCGCTGGAGGAGGGGGGAATCCCTGCAGGGAGTCGTGAGTGACAGTCACGGCTCTCTGCACGGATAGATCGAGAAGTGAGTGAGCGACGGTATGTGTTCGCTCACTTCCCGATCTACTGAGCCGACCTGTGACAGTTTCATTGTCACACGTTGGCTCAGATTATGAGGCTGAGTGAAAATCACTCGCCTCATAATTCTCCTTTTAAGTAAATGAGGTTTGCGGGCTCAACGACGATGGTCCATACAGATGATGTGGAGAGTAATGAGTGCTTGATATGTCGAACTTTAGGTGAGGACTTCCGATACGGTGACGTGGAGATCAACAGTTGGATAAAATATAAGCACGGTGAGTGATCTGATGTGCAGAGTGGGCTGTATGGACCATCGTCGCTGAGCCCGCAACCTCATTTACTCAATGGTGAGTCTATTAGAGTTATTCATAAAAGGGTGAAGAGTTTGGAGGAGGCAGGAGAAGGGAACAATCTAGGACAACATGGCTGACCTGGAAAGTGAGCTGAATTGGAGAATTTTTCCAAATCGGCTATTTTGGCCCCTAGATTGTTCCCTTCTCCTGCCTTCTTCAAACTCTTCACCCTTTTGTGAATAACCCTGATAGACTCACCATTGAGTAAATGAGGTTGCGGGCTCAGCAACGATGGTCCATACTGCCCGCTCTGCCCATCAGATCACTCACCGTGCTTATATTTTATCCAACTGTTGATCTCCACGTCTCCTCACCTGAAGTTCGACATATGAAGCATCGCACCACCTCAAAAGAGACCCCCAAATCCCAAAGCTCAGATCCACCTGATTACATGCGAGTATAATCATCTCACACAGTCTTCACCCCTCCGCTCCACCATCTTTTATCTGCGCCAGGCCGTCGCGCTTCTTCCTCTTTAGTACAAATGTCGGACACCACGGTCCGCACACACCAGGAGCAGCACACCAGCATTCAAACCAATCCAACCCCCCCGTAAGAGCGTTCACCAACTGGACCTGTCCTTCACAACTTTTTACATAGCAGCCTTGTTGTAGTAGTAGAGGGTACCCGGGGCTAGAATCCAGTTGTTTTTCTTTGCCAATGCCAGTGTCCAATCCTCTTGTAGGCAGCAGTATAATAGAAGGTAAATGACTGTGTCCCTCAATGGAAATGTTATGGTGAGTACAAATATTCTATTACGCAGTACATCTCTGCAGTACACATACACATGTGAACATGTTACATCCCTTTAATGACCCTGCAAGTAGAGAAAATACCTGCTGATCTGCCAACTCCTAATATCCTGCTGTGGACTGACCACACACAAGGCTTTTTCTGGTCTGAGATTAGCCCTGCCCAGTTATCTCATGCAGAACTATAGAACACTGCCACCTCTACCAATCTTCACACGAAAGGAGGGAGCTGTTTTGTAAGCCATGATAAAAACCGGGAGAACTCCATGGTTTTGAAATGGTATGTCCAACAAGCTTATATAGGTGTGGTGGTCAGGTGTCCATAGACTTGGGGTACCTAGTATTATCTTAAAGGAGAACTATGAGGGGGAGTGCTTTTCACTCACCTCATAGTTCTAGCCGACCTGTGACAATGAGACTGTCACAGGTCGGCCCAGTAGATCGGGAGGTGAGCGATCACATACCGGCGTTCGCTCACCTCTCGATCCTGTCACGCCTCTCTGCCGTGACAGGGGAGGGGCTGGATTCCCCCGTCCTGCTCCGATCCGCCAGCGCTGACTGGCGGATCGGTTGGGGGAGGGGGCGGGTACAGCTGGCTCTGCCTTTAGATGGGCAGAGCCAGCTGTCAGTCACGCAGCTGGGTGGATCCCGGCATAATTGTCGGGATCCGCTTCAGCTGCGGCGTCTCAGTATACCGCGAGCTACGGATCACGGTATAATGGGCCTAGGGTGACGGGAGGGCGCTAGTTTGTGTCCTCCCGTTACCCTAAGGAGAACTAGGGGGAAAAGACTTAACCCTATAGTTCTCCTTTTAAGCTGCTTTGATTCCCCCTTTCTGATTTGCTCTCATTCCTGCACTTTTCCTGTCACCTAAATAAAGTGAAGGGGGGGGACAAAACACATAGAGCTTAGGCGGTCAGGCAGAGGCTTACTTGCAGTGGTAAGGAAGATAATAATCGATTTTTATTTTTTCATATCTCAGTTAGTTATTCACCTAAAGACAGAATTCCACTTTTCTATCAAAGCTGATCCACCTGGAAACATTGTTTTTTCTTTTTCTTTCCCTCAGCTACGCCAGAGAGAAAACCCAAAAACAATTTCCGAGACTTCATCCCAGTCGTCTTAAAAAGCAGAACCCGCAGCCAGACAGGTAACATAAATACATAAAATAGTGTAATGTACTAGCTGCAGTGATGGCAGGGAGAAACATTTGTAGTAATGGATTCAGGCATTTTCCTTGTTCATTCTTGTCCAGTGAGGGGCACAGGAAGTTTTTAACCTTCAGGTTATACTGCTGCCTATAGGAGGATTGGACACTGGGGGAAAAAAAGTAGGCCAGCCCAGGATAACCCCTCCCTCTGCCAGCATGCCTCCGTTTTGTGCTTGTGTCCTAGCAGGATAGTTATTCAGCTCTGCTGTGTAAGGCTGACATTGGTAGAACATTGTTTCTACTGATGAAATCCATTGGGTCAAGTGTCATGTGCGCGCTCGCCATTCTCTTTCCCACCATACAGCAGGAAGGAGGAAGCATTTCACTGCTGCTACTCCTTCTTGCAAAAAGCCATATGGAACTTGGAGCTTGGATCCGTTGCGCTGCCGTCTACAGTGACCGCGGTCACTTCCGGCCATCTGACCTAAACCTTTCAGCAGCGGTCCAGGTTTTGTGAGTACGCGAGTCCTTGCCTCTTACCCTGAGCCTATGTGCTGCCAGTATGGGGGTGGGAGGGCACAGTCCCTGGAACCCCCGGAATCCTGTTATCCTCTGCTCTAGCTGGAAGCCATCTCTAGAGCTCTCTTCTTTCTGGCCAGTCCTGCCCTTCATCTAGTCCTAGCAGTGGCCTTATTATTACAAACCATGTTTGACGAGTAAAAATGCCTTAAAAGAGATCTACCCGCTGCTGAGGTGGATTCTGCACTTGTAGAACACGTGGAGCAGATGACTGTAGTGTTGAGCTGTAATGGTTTGCTGGAAGCCTCCCATCTCCTCTTTTGCATCTGTCTCATGTCAGTAAACATGCGTTGGGCACTGTCGCTAAGGCTCTGTTCACACCTAGGGGTATCGAATATGCGCGTTTGTCGCGCATTTCGTGACGCGCGTTTTGGCTGTATCCCAATGGAAACGTGCATCAAAAACGCCGCAAAGAAGCTCATGTACCTTTTCAGGCGTAGGCCGTTTTGTAGCGCGTTCAGACGGGCTGAAATACGGCAAGGTGTGAACCATACCCATAGGAAATAATGGGATTTTCATGTTTGAGCGTTTAGTAGAGCGTTGAACGCGCTACAAAACGTACAGGTGTGAACCGGGCCTAAAGTGCTGGACTGCAGAACCCTTTTGTACCCTTTTGCGTCTAATCCGAAATCTTCTCACTTTCTTTCCATTAAGAAACGTCCTTTTTTGTTTCTCCGCTCCCTCGACCTCCACATGGAGACTTCCCAAAGCTTGTCTCTCTCTCTCTCTCCTTCCACAATTCCCGGAACTCAAAGTCTGCCTCAGACAAGACCTTTTTTTACATAAGGGTCCCCCCACGCACACAGCGAAGGGGTGTTTGGTTGGGGGATTTTGTTAGCCTTTGCTAACTGGACAGCTTGCATCTCCGATGCTTGGGTGTAGAATGTGTTATCCCAGGGCTCACTGACCTCCCAGTTACTCACCTCCAAACCTCCTGTGTCACAGCACAGATTAGTAGATCTCTTGGTTCTTGATCTAAGTGTCATTGTGCAAGTGCTGCGGTAGAACAGGTCCAGGGGTTGTACTCCAACCTGTTCATTGTTTCCAAGCCCAAAGGGGGATCTCTCCATTCTGGAACAAACGTAAAGTTGCCTTGTTGCACTTCCCAATCCAAAAGGGGTGCTTGTAGTGACTGCAGATGGCACCGCCAGACAATGTTAGTAGATAGATGATGTCACCAGCACCCCAAAGGGATTTGAAATCCAAAGTGATTGTTTTTTAAAACATCATGCCATCAGAACGAGCGCTTTCGGGAGCCACTCAGGGTCTCCATCATTGCTGAGCCTTATGAAGGGGACCCTGCGCGGCCCTTGAAAGCGCCTGTTCCGTTGACACGACGTTTTAAAAAAACAATCCCTTTGGATTTCAAATCCCTTTGGGGCGCTGGTGACATCTGTCTATTAACCTCTCTCCATTATGGATCTCAACACTCTGAATGTCTTCGCCTGAGTCCAAATATTCAGCGAGGAACCAAATCTGTCATCTCCTCCCTTCACCAGGGAGACGTTTTGGCTATTAAGCATTTTCGTTGTTCTTTCGTGTCCATTAAGGGGCACAGGAAGTTGTAAACCTTCAGGTTATACTGCTGCCTATAGGAGGATTGGACACATTTTGGCTTCTGTGGACATCACACGTTTACTTACGTGTCCCCATGTTTATCCACTTCACTACCACCTTAAGTTTAAAAAACAGCAGAGGAGTCGATGTATTTTTCTGCAGTGCCGTTTATAAATGGCACTGCAGATATAAGGCATGGGTGTCCATGGCGTCTGGTAAATGCCTGTGATTGAGCTGCCATTAGACAGCTAAGATCATAGACTAGAGGCTCAGAGCCAATCAGAAGTGACCTTGTGATCACTCCGATGGCCAATCATAGCGATCACATATGTAAAGAGTACTATTGTTTACATTTGGGAGCCCGCCCCTTCCTGCTCTGCTGCCAATTTCCCCAATCCTCTTGCAACATCTTTTCTAAGAGGTTCTCCTAACTATCTTGTAAGTAAAACTGCTCCCATTGACCACCAATGAAAGGAGGGAACGCTGACAGCCAATGAGCAGCAACAAGGGGGTACAGAAGGGGCATATGGACCCTAAAGGGGGCACGCTGACCACCATTATTATTGGCGAAACACCAGACCACTGACCACAAGCAGTTAGGGAACACTTGCAACCGATCAACAACATTTAAAGGAGGGGGGTACACTGTTGACCACCAACATTTAAAGGGGCACTCACCAATGGCCACCATCATAAGGGGACACTAACGTCTCACCACTGAAATCTGTAAGCTGTTCTATGCATTACATAGGCCTGACCACTACACTCTGCTGCACTGTATATGCCACGTCCCAATCTAAACAATTTTGGAGGCATTTCAGGGCCTTGGGAAATGGGATATATCTGATCACTATAAAATGTATATTATAACATTATTTAAAGTCCATTTGGGTATCTGTTGGATGGGTAATTTTCAGTCAAACTATCACAGCACTGAAAATTGGGCTCAAGCGGTTAAAAAAAAACCCAAACTATTGTTCTTAACGCCAATTTTACATGAATTTTAATTAAGTTTCCGCCCCCTGCTTATGTCTTCGGCAGGTAACTTTGGATTCTCCGATATTGTGACATCATCCAAAGAGCCTTTGCCAACCGAGAAAGATGGCGAGGAAGAGGAGACGGGTACCCCTTGCAAAAAGCGGAGAGGAAGGCGACCGTACAAAGGGTGCCGGACACGTAGGTTTGCCTCCATCAAGGAGGAGCCTGAACCGGAGCCAATCACCTCGCCGGTGCAGAACTCCTGGGAGATGTCCAGCAGAGGCCTCAACGCCGGGAAATCTACAGCCGCCTCTGAGCCAGAAGACGAGGGGAATGAAGACGGTACATTAAGGCGGAGGAAGAGGAGGAGGCAGAAAAATCGGAAATACCAGAACGGGGAATATCTGACGGAGAAAGAGGAGGAAGAGGTGTCTCAGTGTTTCCGGAAGAGACGGTCCCGGAGAGGTGGGTTCTGAAATTTAAAGGGTTCCATCACTTTTTTTTTCTACTCAACTTCAGAAAAACACTTAGGAAGCTTAAAATAAATACATAGATTACAGAAAACGGGTCAGAAATGAGCATTTCTAAAATATCAATCTCCAATTTTAAGCTGTTATAATAGTGTAAATGTTACCTCTCAGGGCTGACTATTAGTGCTGTTATTTACTTGTCTGCTTTGGCAGGGAGAGAATACATGTCAGGCTTTAAAGGAGAACTATGGGGTCAGGGCTTTTCCCCATAGTTCTCCTTAGGGTAACGGGAGAAGACAAACTAGCGTCCTCCCGTCACCCAAAGCTCAGTATACCGCAAGCTACAGCTCACGGTATACGGAGACGCCGCAGCCAGAATGGATCCCGACAATACTGTCTGGATCCACCCAATCAATTAGTTGTCCGATAATTTTTTTCCACTACTTGCATTTAAAAAATCTCCCCCCTCTCTCTCCCCTCTCTTTCTCTCCCCTCTCTTTCTCTCCCCTCTCTTTCTCTCCCCCCTCTCTCTCTC